GGGCTCTTCATTGTTTGCATTCCGAAGTCAGTTTTCTCAGTGTCTGCCCTCCCAGGAGCCTGGGAGAAACCCATATGCTTCTTTTGGTCTTTCTTCATTTGTGTAGATTTTTCTCTCATCCTGTAGTGGCTAAAGTCCCTTGAGTTCTGATCTCCTGCCTCTCCCCTCTGTTTTTGTTGCAGGCAGCTAGCCTGTTGCCTTGGAAGTCTGTAACTCTTAGTTGTCTCAGTCTGTTCAGCACAGGGGAGGGGCCTTGTCTCCTGTTTAATGATGTCACCATGGGAACCGAGGTGGAGGCTCTGATAGGTGGGCAGGGCGATGCAAGTCTGCCTTGAAAATGGTGCAGGTGGTAGTTTTACCTTCACTTTTAGAGATGCTCGTGTGGGTCTCTAAGTGGGACCAGCTGCACAGCTGGGCTCTGGATCCGGGGTGCCACTAGCAGGCTGGGGTGGAGGAGAGGGTCGGGTGTTCCCTCCTTTGGTGCTGGGAGCCTCCGATAAGCACCTTACGCAAGCTTGGGGTTCAGCTCCCTTACACAGGCTTGAGGTGGCATGCTGAGTGTCTCAGCCAGGGTGGGCCCAGGGCTCCAGATCTCCAAAGCTCCAAAGGGCAGGTGGTGGCCCTGGGTCCCTCACAGGGCACTTCAGCCAGAAATGGGACCGGTATCTCTGAGGGGCGGGCGCCCAGAACCTCCCTGGGTGACCGGCAGCTTGGTGCTGGGTGCTGGTCGTGACGATGTAGCCAGGGAGGGAGCGGAGATCTGGGATTCGGGATTCCCTAGCCAGCAGGAATCACATATATAGTGGAGCAGCAGCAGCCGGGCCGCAATATCTGGCCCTGTGTGGGACCAAAAGTCCTCCGGCCTCCTACCAGTGTGGCTGGCAATGGGCAGGGGGCTGCAGGGAGAAAAGTAAGAGTGTTTTTGGGAACTCACATTCAGAGAGTCTCACGGATCCACTTATGTCATCACCATCTTCAGGAGTCCCCCCATTTCTTCCTTTCTAGTCTTATTTCTCTTTATCTCATTTCTTTTTCTTGCCTCCTTGCATTGGCCAGGACCTCTAGTTATGATGTTAAATAAGAGTAATAAGAGTAGGCAAATTTACCTTGTTCTTAGGAAAAAGTATTCTGCATTTCATTATTAAACACAATGCTAGCTCTAGGTTTTGTTATAGATGCTCTTTATCATGGCTAATAAATGGTATTTAAGATAAATCCACTTATGGAGTGTGCTACCCTGATGCCTCCAGAACTTTGAGAAATAATAACTTCAAACAAAAAAGGAGCAGTTGCCTTTTTGTGTTATCATAACCTGTGCCTTCTAATTATGCAAAATGACAACTACCTGATGTGAAAATCCAATTACCAAGTAGATGACACCGCAAAACTGCGCTTTGGGTCACTTACATCTACTAAAAGAGGGGCTGGGCTACATTCCACCATCACTAACACTGATAAGGAAATTTAATTTTGTGAAAGATTAAGTTGGAGCTCACATTTCAAGACTTGGGTGATGAATTTAGTTCTTTCTCACAATAAGATATCATAAATAGTTAATATCCAGCAAGCCAAGTAAACTTTGTTGTCTTTGGTTAGAAAAATCTTGCTGCTGCTTCCTTTTGCCACCAAATATTTTTAAAAGAGTAGTCTATTCTTTTAATCCTGGTGTTTCCACTTCTCACCCTCCTATCAGTTCAGTCTAGTATATATTCCATACCCACCTTTGTTGAAACTGCTCTCTTGAAGATCACCCATAACCTAATCACCAAAATCCAACAACTTTTTGGTCTTGATTCTGACTGTGCTTTCTACAACTTTGGTTCCATTAACTACTTCCCTACTTCTTACCACATACTAAAAATACTTTTTTATAATTATAAAATGATACTTGTTTAATGCAGAAACATTAAAATGCAAATATTTATTATTTTTATATTTTGGTAGCAACTTGTTATGACTATCTCTTCATGTCAGTTAATGCTTCTCTGTACTACTCTGTCAGTTTAGAGGCTACATTTATTCCATGGCGTGACTGGACCACAATGTATTTTGTTATGCTCCTGGTTTTAGAAACTTAGATTCAATTTTTTTTTTTTTTTTGAGTCAGAGTCTCACTCTCACCCAGGCTGGAGTGCTACTGGCATGCTCATGGCCACACCCCTATGTCAACTTATGGGACTCAGGCGATCCTTCCACCTTAGCCTTCCAAGTAGCTGGAACTATAGGCACGTGCTGCCACACCCAGCACCAAGTTGCCAAGGCTGGTCTCTTGCCTTGGTCTTCCAAAGTGCTGGGATTACAGGCTTGAGCCACTGCGGGGGCCCAGCCCAATAACATTTGTTATTAATGTTGCAAAAAATATTCATCCCTATTTCCTTAGTTGCAAAAAATATTCATCCCTATTTCCTTAGTTAAATTTTTCAACCTGTAATGACTGGATCAAAAAGCCAGAAACATTTTTTTTTGCACTATTTTTTGAAATACCCTTTCTGTGTGTACCCCATCTTAGCACTGACCATGATGAACTGTGTCAGCTATTGTGCTTGCCTCCCCTACCAGAAAATGAGCTCTCACGCACCAGGATTATTTCTTATGCATTTTATTTCTCAGAACTCACCAAGGTTCCTGGGACATGGTAGGCTCAAGGAGATGAAAATAAAAACATTTATTGGGCACTTGAAGAGCTAGGGCACTGTGACACTGAAGAGAAGTGTTACCACCATTTTCATTTCACAAGTTAGGAAACTTGGGCTCAGAGAGGTAAATATTTGTCCATAACTATACAGCTTGTTATGTCACAGGACAAATGTTTATTGAATAAATAACAAGGTATCACTTTAGGAATTTTGGTTCTCTAAAAGAAAAGTAACTCTGAAAATCTGCTGATCAATATCATTAATTGTGTATTAATGATATGTGTGAAGAACTTATTTTGTTTAACTTAGAGATGTTGATTTTATTTACATTCATCTTCAGTATCCCATGTTTTAGATTTCTAGATTTCTCCTAAAACCTTCTTCCTTTATCATCTCTGTAGGGGTTAGATACACTGGTGTTCTCATTTGCTTCCATCACCAACTTCTTTGCCTAGTACAAATGTCCTAACACTTGAACAGTCATCAGAACCACTTGAAGGGCTTGTTAAAACACAGATTGTACACTTCCATCCCTATCCTGAGTTGTGGATCCAACAGGCTGAAGGAGGCCTGAGAATTTGAATTTCTAATGTGATCTCTGATGTGGCTGCTACTGCTGCTTCAGAGACCCATTTTGAAAACCTTTAGATTCCAGTGGACTGCTATACCCTGTTTGCACTGTTGTACTCTCTGCTGCTTCAGGTCTTCTCCCCTCCTTTTTGTTCTGTTCTGGGATGTAAAATCAACCTATAGCTCCATGTGTGATGAGATATCCCTTGTTATAATCAGGCCCTTCTCTTAGAAGCCTTGTGGCCAGCAGGTTGACCCCATGAGGCAAGACAAGCTCTGAACTGGGAGTAAGACACCTTGTCTTCTAGACCTGACTCTACCTGACTTCATATGACCCCAAGCAAGTGCCTACTTATGCCTCTTCCCTACATAAAGAGAGCAAGATAGCACTGATCCCTAAGGATTCCAGGTCTCAGATTTTCTATTTCTTCTGAAATAGATATTCAAACAGCTGACTCATTCCTTCTCTGACTATGTAGCAGACCACTATTAAAAAGGCCGTATTTATTGATCTGTCCTCATTTTCTGCTGATGAGACTTCAGAGGTCCTAATTGCCTTTAATGAATTTACAAATTCAGTTATTCTTTTATTACTCCATTGCCTTAAGATTTTTTTGTCCCTATATGGAGTAACAAAGCTTCTATAATACTACATTATTAAATGCAGCATGCCAGGATTTCTTTGTTTATATGAAGTATCTATATAAATAATATCACAATACCACTTTTTAAAGGATAAAGAAGGGTTAAAAAGATTTTATCTCACATCACTTTCAGCTAATTTCTCACCTCAGAGTAAGTCCAGTAAGGCCTATTAGAAAAGTGGCTGAGCACTACTGAATGCCTGGGCAGATCCATAGGGTAGGAACAGATGTAGTATTATTCTTTATGGTTCTAGGATCCAGTAACAAATGCAGAGAACTCAGTGATACAGCAGTGGCAAGAAGAGTAGCCCAAGAGCTTTATCTTCTGTGGGTACAAACAGTAGAGCCTATTATCCTGAAGGAAAATCTCTGAAGGAAACACATCTCATTCAACCCCGATTAATGTCAACAATTAGAGTAAGGGCAAGCTCCCCAGCAAGCTTTCTTTTTAGCTGGCTGACTAGAGGGTAAAGTTGTAATAGTAACCAAATATTTTTAAAGAAAGAAAAATACTTGACAAAGTCCTCTTTTGGATCCAAAATACTTTTTTCTCCAGGGAATCCTTGCCTTTTACCCTTAGACTTGGAAAGGGTACCTGATACTTTTAAGTCCCACTCCTTATTTAAACCACTAAGGGGAGAGGCCTTCATGATTTGGGGAGGCAGAGTGGTTTCTTGGTGCTGTAGATGAGATCTTTTTTTTTTAATTGTCGGTAGTATCACTTATTAAAAACTCACTCTTACTTCATTGACAATTATGCAAATAAGGTTCAGAGGCCCTGAAGAAACCTTCTAGTACCCATATAGAACTGGATATAATTTATTAAGCAGTTAATGTTGACTGAGTATAGGTACCTCAGTAGTTCACATTCTTGAATAACCATTTCACTAAGGAGAATGAGACAGTTTGTGTTGGTGCCAAAGAAAAACCACAGGATCCTAATCTCAACTGCAGAGCAGTAGAGTCCTAATCTCACCTACAGGGTGGGTGTAGATGAGATCTTATCTTCCCTGGCAAGGACACAATTTGAAGCAAGGACAAAATCAGAAGTATTCTCCTACAATCCTCATCACAGGAACCAGATTTTCCATTCTTCTGTTTAGGTCGGCTCAGGTTTATGAAGTTTCTACTTCCTTCTAGGTGGAGGCCGAGCTGATTGACAAGCTGGACAGCATGGTGTCAGAAGGGAAAGGTGACGAGAGCTACAGGGAGCTCTTCAGCCTACTGTAAGCTGCTCCAGCCCTAAGCACATCACATTGGGGTAGGGGTGAAGTGGGCCAATGAAAGGTAGAGGTTATAACTGCACTGGGCAGGTTTTAGAAATTGGTTATCAAGAAAGACCTGGGTTATTCCTGGTGGTAACAGTGCTCACCTCCTGTCAACAAGAAAGCAAGCTTCTACAGGGATTGCCATAGTTGACAGAAGAGGTAGAGGTAGGTAATGACTCTGAGCTCCTAGATCTGCTGACAAGAAAAGGACCATTGTATGTCTTCATAGCCTGTACTGCATTTGGTTGGACAAACGGTTCATAGGGACTCAATCAGTTTAGGGCTCAATGATGGCATTTCAGGGTGGGGGACAAATCTTCCTGTGAAACAAGGACTCCCTTTTGGCCTGCTTTATAAGATAATACAATCCATTTAAAAAACACTCCAGAGGACTCTTGAACAAGTCACCACCCCCTCTGCAGGTCAGTTTTCCTGTTTGTGAAGTGAGGTTGTTGTTCTGAATGATATCAAGATTCTCCCAGGTCTACCATTCTATGGCATCTGTCTTGAGTTGATGGAAGCCAAGAGACCTAAGGAGGGATTTGGAGGAACTATGGCCCTCCCAGGTAGACAATGATGTTGTTATTTTATCTTCCTAAGAAAATAAAATCTTAGGACATTTACAGCTCTGGGGTAGCCTCCCTATCTTACTCATCATTTTCAGCTTTGAGATTATCTTTGTTTTAGTATCATTTTGAAGACAAACTTCTAATGTATTTTTCCAGTAATAATGCTATACATTCACTTAGAACTTTATAGTGTGTAAAATGTATTGACATTTGTTATCCTATTTGATCCTGACAATATACCTGCAAGATGGGCAGAGCAGAGATTTTTCTCCTTCCCGCTTGAGAGATGACGTAACGGGGCTCAGGGAAGTGCTAGATGCCCTCAGTTGTGTGACCAGTAAGAGGCAGCTCTGGAAGGAGGACCCAGATCTTCCTGTTTCAAGAGGGGGAGGTTTTTCTGCTATACCATGCCCATTTTGTTTCTTAATGAGTCATGACATTAAATATGAATTTATTTTAAAATTACATAATTATAACTTGTAAAAATGAATCCATCTTTTAGTATTTCTCTTTCAGCAGAAGATGATTCTAATTGTGGAAATAAGGTAGAGGAATCTCTTCCTTGACCACTAACAAATGACTTCACTACAAAGGAAAAAGTACAAAAATAACCCACAATTACTAGTTACCTGACCAGATAGTGTTCATAAATTCTTTTTAAATCAGTTTGAGAACTGAGAGCCACAGATAACATGGAGTAGTATGTCACAATTTGTGTTTTGGGAAGATGTGTATTGGTATGTAAAAAAAAAGTAAATCATGGGTTAATTAGTTTAGAAAAGATTCAGTTAAACAAAATTGAGCAAGCCTCTTTAAGGTTTTTCAAAATCTTTAATGCACAAAAAGTTATATGCTGGGTGTGGTGGTGCATGCCTATAGTCCTTGTTACTCAAAAGGCTGAGGTGAAAGGATTGAGGCCATCCTGGGCAGCATGACCCCATCTAAAAAAAAAAGGATATGAAAATATCTCCAAAAGGAAGGCATAGTGACCAGCATTTCCCATGCTTGTGTGCTCACAGAACACTTCTGCCTATAGAACACAGTTTGAGAAGTACTGATATATTTCTCAATGAGTAAAGCCACAGAGGTCAGAGTTAGAGGTCTTGCCTTCTCTCTCTCTCTAACAATATGGATAACATGGGAAACCTTCATTTTCCAGAAGCCGGGCCTAAGCAGGATGCTTTGTGCAGAGAGACAGTCATCACACAGCAGTAGCATTAACAGCAGCCATGCTGTGGGGTTGAGTTCCCAGTACTGGGCCCTCAGCTGGGCCTGTTATTCCAGATGACTTTCATTACCTTAGAGAGCAAGGAATAGTGTGGAAAGGAATCAAGAATGGGATTATGTGGAGTGAGAACTGGACATGGACTCATCACTGGAGCAAGCAGAAAGAGCCATTGTCCCCTAGAAGAGAATTGTGGGATGGCCAGAGGATCTCAGAAGCCAGGCTTTTTGGAGAAGCCAGAGGCTGCCCTGTGGTACCAGGAACATGGAGTTGTCAAGTAACAAAAGGACTTTAGCATTTAGCTCTTTGCTGTGGCACATTTTGCATGGCAGCATTCTCTGACAGTTGGATGATTGAAGGTAGCTCCTGGACTTGCTCACTGTCCCTTATGTTGGATCCCCAAGGCTCGTTTCTGTGAAGAGATTGGTTTGTATGTTTGCTGAGGGTGGCTCTGGGAAGTGGATGAGGCAGATAGCCAATTGGCAAAGCCAGGCATATCCCTCAGTAACCTCTTCCTCAGCTGCTCCTTCAGAATAGACCTCACAGTATACACCTAAGCTGGCTGGACCTTTAAACCGCTCCTTCACTTCCACTTCACTGGTATCTTTAGGAACTTGTACAGGGAAATGGAAGATGTGTTCATTTGTTGCTGCCAGTTCAGTAACCTCCTTGTCTTTGCTTTCTGCTGCATGGAGTAGAACCCAGCTGTTTGGGCCCTACCCCAGGTAAGACTGCAGTGTGGTAAGTCTGCTGTCTCCAGATCTGTCACAGCCCCCATGGGCTCTTGGACCTCACTCTTGTGCCCAGGGGAAGGCTCATGAATTGTGTTTGCTTCCCCCACCCCTCCACCAATAGCCTCCTGGAGAAGGTTGAACAGGAAACATGGCGCGAGACCGGCATTTCCTTTGTGACCTCAGTCACCCGCCTCATGGAACGTCTTCTTGACTACAGGTATCTTCTCAGGCATCTATCTGACCTCTTCTCTGGTCAGAATACTCTCTCTAGCAGCAGAATTTTTCTGACCTCAAAACTGAGACCAGGTGCCCCTCATGGGGAATGTTCTGATGTAGGATGCCATCACCAATCATTAGGAATCTGCTGATACCCAAGGAAAGACAGAGTCTTCTCCCAAAGGTAGACGGTTTCCTGGGATTCCTCCCTAAAATGTGAATACCCAAGAGGTATCCCAGGGACATGAAGTTATCTGACTTTCCATCCAGAAAAGGCAAGGCTCAGAGGAATGGGCATAGCAAGAGGGAAGAGAAAAGCTGCTCCAGTGCAAAGCAGGGAACAGCTGTGGGTCCTTAGTGCAGACCATCCTCAAAGCCATATGGCTGGAAAATGAGCAGATATTTCCCTAAATATCACCTGGAGGACATTCAGTTGGCTTTTTCAGGGGCTGGGGACCCCACTTTTCAATGCCTGTGTACTTTGCCTAAAGTCAATTTATTTCTGTCCCCTGGTAGTGGCCAGAGCAGATTAGAGGAAATAACCTGTGAGCTCAGAGATCTTTATGCTATGTTCACTCTGAGAGTTCATGTGGAATTAGAGTTGTTTTAGTGAACATCTGCCTTCCCAGGAATATCATGGCTTTTGAATTAGTCCAAATGTGACAATGAAACTACCACTGCAGCCTTAATTATTCTCTCAGCAGGTTTCAGGTGATGGTTAAGTTTGCCTTTCGGAAGCCTAGAGGAAAGTAATGAGGAATGAGAAAGAATGATAAAGAAATGAAACCCAGGTTGGGCATGGTGGCTCACACCTGTAATCTCATTACTTTGGGAGGGCGAGGCAGGAGGATTACTTGAGTCCAGAAGTTCAAGACCAGTCTGGGCGAATAGCGAGACCTCATCTCTACAAAAAAAGAAATGAAACCCAGCTCCAAGCAGTAGTTGTCTTCTCTGTGCTGCAAGATGTACAAATGCCAAGTAGGGGGAGCATTTCAACCTATGGATTAGGAAATAAGGGGGTTTAGGCTATCTTCAGTTGCTGCTGAAGTACAACGTGCTGCTATGCAAAAGACATGGGTATCCAGTACACTGGCCTGGATATGGAAATGGAATTCCTGAGAAATATGCTCATATCTTTAGCATCTCCTCTTTCTGTAGCGTAGCAGTGCTGTGCGAGCTTTAGCCTGTTTTTCCTGGACCTTACAAAGGCAAAGCTGGCCTTGGGGCCTCTTGCAGAGCAGGGGACTCCTTTGCTCATACCAGGTTCCCAGCCTCTCCTGAGGTTGCAAGTAGACAGGGAAGAAAGATAGATAAAGCTCAACACCTCCCTATTATTGCAATGTTTACTAAAGGTCATCAGCCTTATTCACTGTGGCCTACCAAAAAGAGCAGAAATTAATTTCTTAGGCTCCAAGGCCTAGTTCTGGCTGCCTATATGATTTCTCTAGCTACCTTCTATAAGCAACTCAAACTCATGCCCAAAACCAATTTCATTCTCCATTTCTTACCTCAGTAGTGATATTTACAAAAGGCTTTCATGTGGCTTCAGAATCCCTTTGTGAACTGGCTTTTGCCCATTTCTCTAGCCCTATCTTCTACCAGTCGCCAATGCTTGTGCCCTGTATCCCAACCTCCCAGTGTTGCTCCTTGTTAACATGAAAGGAAACAATGTGATGTTTGTAATAGCTCCTATCTATTGAAAATCTACCACGTGAGTGCTCTTGATACATTTAGGGAGTTCCACTGTCAGGATTTCAACCCAGATCTGGCTGACTCCTTGTCTGTATTGTCCCCACTCAGCCATTCGTATCTTCCCTTTAGGCTTCTCTATATGCAGTGTTCTCTCCCAAGAGCAGCCTTCCTACTTAACTTCATCAAAGAGGCTTTCCCAAGCCAGGAACTTACCTATCTGTGCATACTTTGGATGATGACCATTTATCTAATCTTTTTGTCTTACCTTACAGAAGAGAGCCAGCTCCTTGGGGATAGGAACCCTATCCTTACCTCTCTGCTCTCTTAATGGGGCTGGCTCCTGGCGGGTGTGCAGCAGATAATTATTAATTGATAAACTTGCTGGGAGACTATACAGGAACCAAGGAACTCTTGTTCTATACCCCAATGCAGTGTAAAAAAGTATTAAGAAAATAGTTGATAAAATTCAAGGAAAGGACGTCAAACAAAAAGAAATTAGTTGTTGAAAGTTTTAAAATATATACATTGATTATATAAATAATCAATAGGTTGTACTCTAGAATGACATGAACCTGTAGAGACTCAGTTTTAGACTGGCAATATTTTAGGTACTCAGTGGAATGCCTCTTCAACTTTTGTGTTAATGTCTTTAACCTTTGTGTGAATCCCAGACACTCTGTGTCAGATATAAAGATGCTCACTAGCAGTAACTATATTTCTCAGATTAGGAAACAGAGCCTTAGAAGGATTTTCTTAGTTCCTGGAACAGACAGGGATAGAGCTAGGATTGCCAAACCCTTGTGGCTCTAAGTGAGACCTCTACCTACAATGGGCACTGGAGGTTATGAAGCCTCCTGTCACAATGAGGGCTGCCTGGCCACTGGTCTCAGCCCCAGCCTGCCCAGTGTACACAGGTGAGATAGATGCTTCAGAAGCTTCTTCCTCTGATGAGAGACTTCCCTGCCTACACTCCAGAGAAAGAGCAAAAGGGAGAGCAACTGCTGCTCCCAAGTCAGAGATTTTAAAAGGCATCCACTTTGTTGAGTAGTCAGACAGAAGTGATGCAAAGCTACACAGAGGAACTTACTGTTAGCAGTGCATAGGAGAAACAGTCGTGAGCACAAAGGTGTATAGGAATGCCCCTGACATCAGTGTTGAGGCCAGTTCTTTTCTGTTGGTTTGCTTGGCTATGAAGTTTTGGTTAAGGCCAAATAGAAGGTAATGCTTGGTAAATGTTTCAGATACTTTATAGAAAATACAAACAACTAAATTCCAAAGTGACTAGGTAAGATCTCAATGCCCTCCCTGGGGCCTAGTTGTTGGGGAGACAGGCACCTCTTGCCACTTTGTAGGTTACTTAGAACAAATTGGCTATCTGCCCTTAGGCTTACTCCTCTTGAAAAGTCAAGCAGTTTCCTGGCCCTCCTCACAATAAAGGACAGATTTTGCTGAGGGATGTTAAGGACCCTCATATCTGGCTACATGAAAACCAAATGCCTTCTGGGGTGAATGTGCTTATATTACTCCATTTTGCATCGCTACAAAGGAGTATTTGAGGCTGGGTAATTTGTAAAGAAAAGAGATTTATTTGGCTCACAGTTCTGCATGGCACTAGCATCTGCCTAGTTTCTGGTGAAGCTTCAGGAAGGCTTAACTCATGGCAAGAGTAGAAGCAAAAGAGAAAGAGGTACCAGACTCTTTTAAATAGCCAACTCTCATGTGAGCTAATAGAGCCAGAACTCACCCATTACCACAAGAATGACACCAAGCCATTCATGAGACACCTGCCCTCGTGACCCAAGCACCTCTCACTAGGCCCCACTTCCATTATTGGGGATCACATTTCAACACGAGATGTGAGGAGACAAACATCCAAATTATATCAGTGCTGATAGGGCAAACCTTCCCAGAAAGGAGAGCCTTGGTACCAAACCCCATAGAGGTGTCAAGTCTGAGAACAGAGCTACATAGGAAGGACATTTGACTTTGCCGAAGACCATGGAAGTGGTATGGATTTCCAATATCCCTTCCTTTCAAAGAAGTCACCTCAGAGTCTTCCCTTTGCTTGCTGGGAAGGTTGGGGAGAAATGTCTATCCAAAGGTTCAGTGACTTGTCCTGGGGCTCCTGACTTCCAGCTGTTCTGCTCCTCACTGGGCCCTGTGCCTGTCAGTGGAGCAAAGCCAAGACACACTTTCCATCCTAGCCCTAGAGATCCATTCTGCAGCTTTTCCCCAGAGCTGTTAATATACAACTGTACAAGAAACTAGATCTTCTCCAGAGCAGTGTGGGGTGCTGTGGAAGGAGACACAGCAAGCAGATGGGACTCTGACTGGCTGTGTATATAGGAGGCTTCTTGCTGGATTCACCAGTTTGGTTCTTATTCTCCTTCATCCCCTTGTGCCTGACCTCTGCCCCTGCCCACAGAAGCTTGACTTTGACCAACCCTCTCCCTACCTTGATAAGGATCCCTTCTCAGTGTTCCTATTGTTCTGTCTCTCACAGGCCAGCCCTGACCCTGATAGGTATGAAAGCAGCTCAGTCCTGGCTGAAGCTGCCTTTAACTCAGAAAGAAGCACCAGACCTGCTGCTTCTGGTGAGAGATAGTTTTAAAGGCTAATACACAGGAAGGAGACTATAGGGATAAATGCCGCTAGGTGGTGAACATGTACAGGGCCCTGAAGCAGAGGGTCTTGGCTTCTATTCAACACTGTCCCACAAAGTGAAACCTCCCTTTAAGGAGAACTCTGTGCCTTTCTTTTGGGGAACCTGAGGATTTGGCCTTTCACTTAGCTGACACACTCTTTTGTGCTTAGGACATTGGTAGGTGTTCTAGGTTCTGCATTTTGTTTCCAGAACAAGGGACTTAGTTGAAAAGAGATCTTTGAGCCCCAGGAGTGGGTCCAAAGCTCGAAGGGAGCTCTGAGTATAATCCTTATCTGTGGAAGTAGTTCCTGTTGGAGGGCATTCTAATCTGGGATTTGGTCACACTAAAACCCCAGTGATACTGCAGTTCTGTGTATTGTCTCAGAGATGCCAGCTCAAATCATGGGTGCTCATCTATGCACTCTCTTCCAGGGACTGCATGAAAGGAGAGGAAACAGAGAATAAGAAGATCGGCTGCACTGTTAACCTGATGGTGAGAGGACATTGGCTCTCCCTACTATCTACCAAGCAGAATGGTTTCTGATCTTGTACTGTGATTGTCTTGACTTTTCTACAATACATGGCTGTAGGCCTAAGGGTCTGAGTCAGGGCATCAGCTCTGTTACTGGTATCTTGAAGGCCTGAACCTCCCCAAACACATTCCCACTTGGGGAAGGAGTGAAATGAGCTTCTCTTTGGGCATAACTCTAGTGTGACCTCTTAGCAAGGTCCCACCAACCCTGACTTGAATCAGGGTAATTCAAGTCTGCCCTGATTTCTGATCTGATGCTCTTCCTCTCTCACACTACTCAGTGCTCCCACAGACCTGCCAGTTTCCACTCCCAGCAGGTGTTCCTTGTGGCTAGTTCTTTCTTTCTGGTGCTGCCTCCAGGGCCTACCCTCACCCTCTTACCCAGCACACCAAAGGCTTTGACCAGCTGCCTAGAGCTCAGATATGGCCTCCACAGGTAGCAGACTTTCTCATCTTTGTGTCTGTTTCCTCCTTCTTCTCTTATAGAACTTTTACAAATCTGAGATTAACAAAGAAGAGATGTATATCCGCTATATCCATAAGCTTTGTGACATGCACTTGCAGGCTGAAAACTACACAGGTGAGTAGGGAGAGGGGAGAGTCATGCCTGCCCATGAGAACAGGCTGAAGGGATATGCACAACTAGCAGTGAAAGGCCCTGGGCCTTAATGACAAACATTTGAAAAACCCATCCACTTATCACAATCGTTAAACACTCATTTATTGATCTTCCAGCACCTTCAAATATTTCAGCATGATGACCCTGCCTTATGTTAGGGCTCATGCTATCTCCTCACCTCATTCCTTTCCCTCAACAGATGGAACTTCCACTCATGCCTTTGTGCCATGCCCTTCACTGCTTGAGACTGTTTCACTCTCCTTCCCTCCTATGCACCCCTCTGAAGCCTCAAGGATGATCTCCAAATTCTGGTGCACCAGGTTCAGAGCATCATGAGCTCACTGTCAATCCTCCTATCTGGAGCTAAGTGAGGCCACAACAAAGAAGTATTCCCCCAAATCCTGGGACTTCCAGAACTCACTGACAGACTAGGCTCTTCAGACCTTGCAACTGCATAGCAGCCCAACATCAAGCTCCCAGTGAAGAGTAGAGAGTGTTTGTCTGAATTCTTTTTTTTTTTTTGAGTTGCAGTCTCACTCTGTCACCCAGGCTGGAGTGCAGTGGCACACTCACGGCCACTCCAGCTTCAACCGGCTGGGCTCCGGCAATCCTTCCATCTCAGCCTTCCAAGTAGCTGGAACTACAGGTGCATGCTACCACGCCCAGCTAATTTTTTTTTTGTTGTTATTTATTATAGAGACGAGGTCTCGCCAAGTTGCCCAGGCTGGTCTCAAACCTGCATGCTCAGGCAATCCACTTGCCTCAGCCTCCCAAAGTGCTGAAATTACAAGCTGAGCCACCGAGTCTGGCCCATCTGATTTCTTCACAGGCCAGACAGGGCCCCTTTCATTGTATCTACAATTTAATCCAAAACTTAACCTTTTCTAACTAGAACAAAATTTAAAGCATTTCAAAGTGCCTGTCACAACTCTCTTTACTAAGAGCCGCTCTGAATCAGAAGGATGTGTTCATGCGTGTTCCTTCTGATCGCCTTATGCCATAGTTCCCCCAAAATAGCCATCTTCTCTACTGTGGTGACCAGCTACTTTGTCTTAGCCCTTAGGCTATAAGACTGGAATTTGAATAAGCAAGGAAATTAAAGCTTTTTGTCTGCAAATATTACTGCATTCTATTGATTTGTAAAAATAGAGACTCTTCTGTCCTTATTTGTAGATGTTACAGAGTGTTTAGCATAGATGCCACCTTTTATGACTAGCACAGCTTGGCAAGAATTAAATCTAAAATGACTTGACTGTGAATCTTAAATTTTGCTGATTAAAAAAATGTTTTAAATAAAATGACTGGACTGAATCTGCCATTATCTACATACATTTCCACCCATGATCCCAGCAACCCTCTGAGAAGGCAGCAAAGAGAAGGATTTGGATAATTTTATGTATCAGTAGAGGCATTTGTTAAACTTCTAGAGGACTTGGCCATGACTGAGAGACTGGTTCAGGGGTTTGAACAGACAGAGGGTACAGAGTCTTATCTCCAGTGGATCAGGGAATGACATCTGAAAGGAATATAGGCAGGGAAGAAAAAGATAGTGTCCTAAGTTCCAGAGGGAGGCCCTAAGTGCCACAAGCCTTGTTCTACTTCCAGTTCTACTTCCAGAGGGTCATTTCCAGAACTATGCTGAGGGGTTCCTGGATTCGGTGAGGAGGCGTGTGAATCCTTGGGCAGGAGGTTCCAGTGGCAAGGGTACAGACAAAGAGGCAAGGATGAGGAGGAGCCTAGAGAGAGGACACAGGCAAGTGGGCCTTGCTAAAATTGGAAGTGGGTCGCAAAATGCATAGAAATGAGATTCTTCATAGTCATAGGGAGTAGGTTTGAGTAGAGCTTTGAAAGCCAGGCAGAAGCTAGAACTAATTAACTTACCAGTAGCAGATGCCTGCTAAAAATGAGCAAATAGAACAGGAAAAAGAAAGCTGTGTAAAGAGGGCCCTGAGCAGTGGCTATAATTCAGTGACTCATCCCTTGGAAGTTAGGGAGCCAGAATACTTAGCTGCTGTTGTTTTTACATAACCCTCTCTAATTGTTTCACACATAGAGTAAGATATTGCCAGGCCTTCACTCTGGGTCCAGTATTAAGGACCCAGTTTCCAGGAATGGAACCTCTGGCTCCAGGGCCATCATGTAATTATTACCATTCACACTTCTCTTTGGTTCTTTTAGAAATGGTAGGGGTAAAGAGAAAAGGGTTATTCCCAGGTCATTCCCATTTCTGCTGAGGGCAGAAAATGGTGTTGGAGGCATTGAGGCTGGCTTAGGGAGGGCTGAGGGAAGCCTTGGTTGGTGCTTACTCCGAAAAGCCAGTTCTGAGAAGATTAGAGGAAGCTGTAGTCAGTTGAGCAAAAAGGAACTCAAAAGCTCTCTCTGATGTCTCAGTCTTTCCCAAAACAAGGCAACCTGTGCAGAGACTCTTGGGTAGCTGAGCCAGTCTTTATTCTTTATCTGGAGCACAGAACAGGAGACCAGGCCATGGAAGGACAAGGTTTATTGGCTTGCCTGGCAGTCCCACTGATATCCAGTGTCCCTGACCTGGGCTGCACATGACTTGCCCTAGCATTCTGCTCAGCACAGCCCCCTGCCACCAGCCCCTGGGCCTCCATGCTGCCTATCCCCACAGAGGCTGCATTCACCCTGCTCCTTTACTGTGAGCTGCTGCAGTGGGAGGACCGGCCACTGCGGGAATTCCTCCACTACCCATCACAGACAGAGTGGCAGCGGAAAGAGGGACTGTGCCGGAAGATCATTCACTACTTCAACAAAGGCAAGGTAGGTGTCATTAGGCAAGCCATTCAGCCCCTCAGCTTCTCTGACGCATGACATCTTGCAGTTGGCAGCAGCTGCAGAGGGTGGTGTGTGGGGTGGTAAGTAGGTGGGTGCCCATGTATGTACATCAGAATTGGAGACAGCATGATTTTTTCTGGGGAAGGGGGCAGCTTAATTCTGTGGCTTGAAAGCCAGTTCTAGATTGTAGGTGTTAGAGACTACCCCACATACCAACTTTGCACATCTATTAATGCTATTGCTCCTACAGCAGGGGCTTCTTGAACTTTGCTTGTTTTTATTAGATTTACTTAAAGAATTTATGCAGATTTCTAATCTGTAGCCGTAAAAAAAAAGTGAGTGGTAAAAACGAATTTTAACCATTTACCCATAGCCAAAGGCCTGTCCTATCTCTTACTAGTACATGTTCTTGTGCTTGGATTTCCCTTCCCTACAGCACAGCCTGGGCCTCTCTCATATTGGGATTATTCTCCATCAAACTAGCTTCCATGGGATTGGCAGCATTGTCAGCACTGGTTTAGGATTGCTTGGGGCTTACCAGTCATCCTGCTCCCATCCCTAAAAGGGCTCTTCGTAGGACCCTCTGACCACCTACTATTGGGTATGGCCCATGCATTGGAAAGGCATATACGTATAATACATATAAAGGTGTATAACTTGTTGAAGCCATTGTCTCATTACTGAAATAGTATCACTTGGGGAATGGTAGTGGCTGAGCCCCTGACTCAGATGAATAGAAATTGGGGTTTTGTTTGTTTGTTTGAGTCAGGGTCTCACTCTGTTACCCAGGCTGGAGTAGAGTGGCATGATTACAACTCACCACATCCTCTGAACTCATGAACTGAACAGATTCTCCTACCTCTGCCTCCAAAGTAGCTGGGACTATAGGCATATACCAACAAGCACAGCTAATTTTTTGAGTTTTTTTGTAGAGATGAGGTCCTGCTATGTTGCCCAGGCTGGGGAAAAAAAAATTTTTTTTAATGAGTTTTTTGGCTGGGTACAGTGGCTAACACTTGCGATCCCAGCACTTTGGGAGGCCTAGGTAGGAGGATTGCTTGAGCCTAGGAGTTCAAGACCAACCTGGGCACATAACAAGATTTTGTCTCTACAAAAAAATCAAAAAATTAGCCAGGCTTGGTGGCACACACCTGTAATCCTAGCTACTCAGGAGGCTGGGGGAAAGTATCACCTGAGCCCAGGAGGTCGAAGCTGTGGTGAGCTATGATCACGCTGCTGCTTTCCAGCCTGAGTGACAGAAAAACCCCAACTCAAAAAAAAAATAAAAAAACTAAGCTTATTTTTTTTAATCAAAAAGAAAGATTTAAACATTAATTGCTTTTGTCTATACATCAGACAACATTCTTCAATTTTACATAACATAGGAGACTTCTGTGTTTGTTTAAAAATACTCAAAAAACATTCACCCATGCAGAGATTGCATCAGTAAGCCAATTCCAGATTGTAGGAGCCTACAGAAACTCTTGTGTGACCAACTCAGATAGGAGGCCCATACTCAGCTATCGGCCAGCCATCGGACTAACCCACAATGTTGATCCAAAGCCTCCTCCCCTTGCTAGCTTAAGGCCTGTTGTAAGGCCTGTCAGGCACAGATTTAGGCCTATCTTCCTGGCACCCAAATAACCTAGAGCCGCCACTGACCCACATGCCCAGCAAACCTCTCCCTGCTTGGAGGGAATAACAAGAGCATGGTGTGGATATGCATGAGTGTTTTTATTCTATATTTTGAATTGGGTTTTCACTCTGTCGCCCTGGCTGGAATGTGGTGGCACAATCACAGCTCACTGCAGTCTCGATCTCCTGCCACCTCAGCCTCTCAAGGAGATGGGATTACAGGCACTCACCACAATGCCCAATTAATTTTTTTAAAAATCTTTATAAAGACAAGGTCTTGCTATATTGCCCAGGCTGGTGTCAAACTCCTGGGCTGAAACAATTCTCTTGCCTCTGTCTCCCAAAGTACTGAGATTATAGGTGTAAGCCACTATTCCCAGCCATGAGTGCTTTTAGTATATTCATTCTCCTCTTTTCTTTCCATGGGCACAGTACAGAATGGAAGTTATCCTCATCTGAGCTTACTGGTGTGATGTATGAGCATTAATGGTCCCTTCTTCATCCCACATTATAGTAGTACATAGAAAAGTAGAGTTAAACCTTAATATAGGCAAGGGAATGAAACACAAAACCTGCCTGAGTATTGTAATAGACAGGAAGGGGAGCAGGACTAGGAGGCTCCATAGGCTACCTTTTAAGAATCTCCTACTCCTTCCAGAAACCCTGCCTTTACTGTGAATTGCTGGAGGAGCAGAGTATGTGCCAAGTAGAGACCACTCAGTGAGCCCTTTCATGGAAGGAAGGAAGGAAGGAAAGCAGGGAGGGAGGAAGGAGAGAGAAAGAAAGAAAGAGAGAGAAGGAAAGGAGATGACCAATATTGCTTCTTTATGAAGGCTACTGCAGCCTTCCTCAGGTACCTGTTGGATGGGCTGTTGCCATAATAGGACCCAACAGGACCCACACCACAGAAACAGCCTGGGATTTGACTAGGCAAGGATCATCTGAAGCCTAGTTTAAAGTTCAAGTATTTCCATTAAGGAAATTGTCGGGCCTACTACCAAGTCCTTGGGTAGGCACTTTCTTCTTGGTTTCTATACTTGTTTCTGAACTTAAACGATCTTACTATAAAGTGTTTCCTTTATTAACTCACTAAATAAACATTTATTGAGTACCTTATACATGCCTGGCATTATTCTAGCCTATGAAGATAAATAGGGTCCCTGCCCTCATGCAGTTTTATCATCTAATCAAGAGTAATACAACAAAGAAGTAAGTAATTTTTAAAAACTAACATAACTTTAGAGTGACAACAGAAATGAACTGGAAAATACCTGTTTTTGACAAGGTGATCAGAAACGACCTCTTGGAGGTGGAGACATTTGAACAGATACCTGAAACTATGCTTGCACTAGAAAGCCACAATGTTGTGTGTCATACTCCCCAAATTGGTTTTGAGGCATAAATTCTTTGTAATATGAATTGGAGCTGGCAGGAGGATGTTTGTTGTGTTCTGTGATGTGTTAAATATGCGCTTAGGCCAGTCTGAGGATGCCTGATGTGCTGAAACCTTGTTTCTATTTCTGACACAGAGCTGGGAGTTTGGGATCCCACTGTGCAGGGAGCTGGCATGTCAGTACGAGAGCCTCTACGATTATCAGAGCCTCAGCTGGATTCGGGTGAGTTGTGTCCCTTCTCCCACCCCAGCCCTGACGAGAGGTGCCAGACTTTCTTGGCATCAGTTTTTAAGTGAGCATTCACAATAAGCCCAGCCCTTGATTTAGTGTTAAGGACAGTATAGGGAAAACAGAAACCAGGATTCCTGCCCTCAAGACACTTGTAGTCTGACTGGGGAACCAAAACACACCTGACAAATGATTGTGTGATCTGGACCCCAAGGGCCACTGGTGCTCAGAAAAGGGAGAAGCCAGCATAGGCAGGATAGGATGGGGGTTTCAAGTAGGAGGTGGCAGCTCGACTTCATGGAGAATCTTTTCCTGTAATGGTTTTGTTTAAGGATGTTTCATCCAAAAACTGTATAAGAGCTATCCCCACTTTGACTTATGGTTACTTGTAAGCACTTTGTCCTTCCTTTTTTTAACCAAAATATTCAAAAATTAAGTAAGATACCCCAAGGGCTTTGAAGGTCTGCACCAAATGTTTTCTGGTTGCCAGTGCTAGGTTCTGAATTATAACAGCTGCTGATTTCATCAGCAAAGAGAGATTAGTAGCAAATATCAACTCACCCTCCCTGTACCCATATCCTTATGGCCAGCTCTCTTCTGTTCCCTAATCCAGATTGGGGTTTGAGTGTGTTCCTCTAGCAGTAGCTTCTTGATTGGTTTTGAAGACCACTACTCCCTGGAAGGATGGCTTTATCGAATGCATTAGCACTATCTTCCCAAAGTTTCAGTAGGTTTTTCTCTGAATGTGAAGCCAGGTCACCCAAGACTTAAAAACTTACTGGCTCTGGTAGTGCTAGACATTATGGATGTTAGTTAACTTTTCAAGTTTAAAGTCTCCTAAATCAGAACCAGTACCAGTGATGCTAGCCTTACTCACTATGGTTGTTAGTATCTTTAGTCAGACAATAGAACAAGAGCAGAAGAAGTTGAACTAATGTGAAATGGTGCTGAGAATTGTTGATAGCCAGCTACAAGCAACCCTGGTCAGGGGGCAACTATAGTAAGTATCAGACAAAACTAGAAATCCCTGGGCAGAAAAAGTCTATGTTAAATGTGTGTCCTCCAAGTGCAGGAAACCCAGGTCTATATGGGGTTGATTCTATGCCCTGGGAAGGACGTTCAGAGCAGCAGCACAGGGCTGTAGTGGGCAGGCCTGTCCCCTTTCCACCAGTGATGATGAAGGGCTAGATTCTCTTCTATGATGCAGCTCCCTGGAGAGAGCTTGGTCATGGCTAAGGGCTTACTTCTTCTTACCTAGATTGAGTTGCCATGATCCCTTTCCAGAAGGTAGTGTCTAGTTGGGCCTGGGAGAGCTTGCTTTGGACACCAGTAGCAGTCAAGCCAACCTGAAGGCCTTTCTCTTTCACAGAAAATGGAGGCTAGCTACTATGACAGCATTATGGAGCAGCAACGCCTGGAGCCTGAGTTCTTTCGTGTTGGCTTCTATGGCAGGAAGTTTCCTTTCTTCCTTCGGGTGAGTCCATTCAGGTAGTCACAAGAACTTACATATTTTACACGTAATTCACTTAAAACTTGTACTTTATTGTCCTTTTTGCCTATTCTACTGAATACTTATTTTCAATCACCAAAAGACATTTGACTTTGACTGGACTGGCTGTCAACTTCAGACTGTTTTAGACTGCTGTATTATTCTGTAGCTACCAGGAATGTGTGAGGTCGGCATTCTCACCAAATCAACCAAGTTTCTTCAGGAAGTGACCAGGGTCTAAGTACCCATAAGTACCTTCTAACTTCTGCCTCCAGTGCCTGGAACCTCCATAGTGATTCTTTTCCACCAAAAATGGCACCAATACAGCCCTGACCTTAACAGTAGGCTTGTCTATTGGAGTTTGTCAGCTAGTCTATAGTTTATGAAGCCAGAATGGAAAACTGTTGGTTTGAGAGAGGACAACCTAGAGAACACATCACTTGGCTCCTGGGGCCCTGAGGGAGCTGCCATACATTGGGTTTGGCTGTGGAAAGCTTCTTCTACACAGCCAATTCTCTGACACAGGATGATGACACCCATTTCTCTCCACCATTCCCGGGCAGGCTGGGCTGGAATATAAACAGAGTGAAAAGAATGACTGAGCATATAGATCTATTGACAACAGTTGTGATTTTCTTCTTTTTTCAGCACAACCCAAAAGCTCCAGGAGTAGTCAGCTGTATTTCATAAAGATGTATTGTTCTCAGATGAATGAAATGAAACTGCCCTGATGAAGGGACCCCAGAGCAGTTAAAAACTAAGATTAGTTCTGATTGTCCCCAGTTCCAACATCTTGCTAAATGTTCAATGTCCATAAGTCTCAACAAGCAGTTGGGAAAGTTCACGGGATCCCTTTGATATGTTTGGGATCCTGTCTTACTGGAGAAATTGCTTTAGCCAGTGAGCAATAACAAGCTTGGTATCACATCAAAGGTCAATCAGGCTTAAGGGCTCTTTAAAATAAATCCAGTCTGCTAGCAACAGAATCCAGGCCAACTGCATTTCAGATGTAAGGCAGGTCAATTTGAACTTTTCCTGAGCACTAATCATTCTATGCTTAAAGGTAAAATTATCTGTGTGGGAATTGGTAATACAACAGGCACAGCAAGCTCACTCTGTCTAATTTTGATCCCCAGGAAGACTAACTCTTTTCTGCAGGAGTGTTTTTAGTAGTAGAATGGAAATAAGTAGCTGGGTGCAGGGACTCATGCCTGTAATCCCAGCACTTTGGGAGGCTGAGGCGAGAGGATTGCCTGAGCTCAGGAGTTTGAGACCAACCTGGGCAACATGGCAAGACCTTGTCTCTACAATAAATCAAAAAATTAGACAGGTGTAGTGGCACACACCTGTAATTCCAGCTACTTGGAAGGCTGAGGCAGAAGGATCTCCTGAGCCCAGCAGGTTGAGACTGTGATGGCCATGAGCATGCCACTGCACTCCAGCCAGGATAACAGAGTAAGACTCCAACTTAAGAGTGGGGG